TAAAGTATAAATTACCCACTAAATTATAGAAGATTGGAGGAACTAAAGTGTATTTGGATCCTCTCCGCTACTAAAAACTAGTGGAGAGACTACTAGTTTCAATAGAAGCTTAATTTTGATTGCTTAATGAACGGTGATGACCAACTGTAATACACATCAACTGATTATTATATCCTCATGCATCGCAATCATTTCTATTTAATTTATACCCAAGGAAGCAAATCATAATTAACCTTGAATTACTTAATAGATAAGCCAAAAAAAGGATCCGTCTCTTCACTACATTTTAGCAATGGAGAGAATCCGAATCCAATATGGATATCCAAATTCGCAAAGAAACCCTATTGCTAATAATTAACTAAAGCTCGGTTTTGTACTGTTGCAGAGAGTTAGACTCCGTCACTGCTTGCGTCAATACCGCCGGCAGCCGGCTGCCCATTTATCTTCAATATAAACTGTCGTTACTTGAAACTTGAAAGGTCCAGTCCACCAACAGCCCAAAAATTAATATCCAGCCCAAAAAACAAACCCATGTCCTCCTCCTCCCACTCCACGCGTGCCCCTCACGTGATCGAGGACTGCCGCGGGGTTCTCCAGCTCCTCAGCGACGGCACCGTCCTCCGCTCCCAGACCCCACTCCTCCTCGGCCCCGCGCTCGACGGTCACTACCCAAACATCATCTTTAAGGACACCGAGTTCGACCCCACCCACGGTCTCACCCTCCGCCTCTCAAGCCCCGCGGCGGCCCCACCGGGGCAAACTCCCGTCCCTGTTCTACTTCCACGGAGGCGGGTTCTGTATATCGGCTCCTTCGCCTGGCCAGTCTTTCATAACGTCTGCCTCCGCCTCGCACCGACCACGCGCTTGTTGTCGCCCCCGACTACCGCCTCGCGCCTGAGAGCCGGCTGCCCGCCGCCATCCACGACGCGGTAATGATCGTCTTCACTTTTAAATTTAATTCATACATCAACAACCTATTAGTCAAAAAATTCACCGAAAGTCCAAAAATATTGTTAAAATTCGTACTCAAGACAGGTGGCTCAGTTTGTTAATATTTAGATCTAGCTAGGATACAAACCACGTATCTTAAACGTGCATCTTTAAAGCTTACTTTTAGTTTTTTCAGTGAAATTTTGACTATTAGGTGGTTAATTATTTGGAACAAAAACTTAATTTAAAGTTGTTTTGCGTATAAATTGAAAACGAAAGACAACTTTTGTGTAATAACTCAATTTCTAAAGTAATTTCCATGAAAAAGAAATCCATTTTTTTTATGAGATTAAATTGAATTGTTTCTAGTTATTGTTATGGTCGATCATTTTCTTTGCTTGAAATCTAGTAAATTATATTGTAGATCAATATTTATAATAGAAATAATGATCAGTTTTTAATGTTCTTTCACGCATCTATACGGATAATCTATGTTTATAATAGTTATACTCTAATTAAGTATCTGATACTTTAAATTAGTCTGTTGTAATTGCACGCATCTATTGTCATAACAGTTTTTTTTTTAAATGTTATTTACAATATTCTAACGATTGACAACTTAAAGTATTTTTATGTTGTTTTTTATAACTTAGGATATTTAAGTGTAAATGTTGTGAAACAATAGGTTTTTAAAGTCAATTCTGTTTTAATTACACGCGTCTATACGAATAATTTTGAAGTTACTAATGCATATCAGCAGGTAAACGCAGTCAACTGGATCCGATCCGAATCCGACCCGTTCCTCTCCGGCGCGGACTTGAACAACGTCTTCATCTCCGGCGAGTCGGCCGGAGGAAACTCACAAGTTTATCGGCCGCCGGGGCCCGCAGAATCCATCGAGAAAAAACCGGCCCGCTCCGCCCTTCGATCTCCGCAAACCTCCACTCTCTTCCCGAACTCCCTCAGCCTCTTCCCCGTACTCCACGTCTCGGTCCCTCAACAGGTCTCTTCCACCCGCCCACCACAGCATGGGCCCCACCTCCGCCTCCCCCCACGCGGGCCCCGGCGACCGAACAGGGTTGGCCAACGGGTCGTCCCTGTCGTGACCCGCACCGGCAACGACAGGCGCCAGTACTGATATTGCCGTCTTCTCGAGCGCTGAAGAAGCCGTCTTCAGGCCAGCTGGCCTCCGACTCCGTGCGCTGGGTCCACTGAAGAACGGCTGCAGCAGGATGTACCGCTTGACTCTGGCCATGGGTCCAGATTTAACGGCGAGCGTGCAGTGGCGTTAAGATCGCGGATTTAAGCTCGCCTCCGATTCTCTCCGCCACGAACCGCTTCATCAACCTCACAAGTTTATCGGCCGCGGGGACGCAGATCACCATCGAGAAAAAACCGCGTGCTCCGCCCTTCGATCTCCGCAAACTCCCACTCTCTTCCGAACTCCCTCAGCCTCTTCCCGTACTCCACGTCTCGGTCCCTCAACAGGTCTCTTCCACCCCCCACACAGCATGGGCCCACCTCCCCGCTCCCCCCACCGCGGCCCCGGGACGAACGGGTTGGCCAACGGTCGTCCGTGTGGACCCGAGCCGGCAACGACAGCGCCAGTACTGATTGCTCTTCTCGAGCGTGAAGAAGCCGTCTTCAGGCCAGCTGGCCTCCGACTCCGTGCGCTGGGTCCCACTGAAGAACGGCCTGCAGCAGGATGTAGCCGTTGACTCTGGCAGGGTCATGAAATTGTTGAAGTGCACGTTCGCCGTTCAGCTCCCACTATGACACTATATATATTATGTGTATTGTTTTAATTTCTTTTACTGATCGATTTATTTTAAGGTTTTGGCTTTACGAAGTAGGTGCCGGTTGCAAGTATTTGTGTCTGGACTTTCGGAGATTGATAGTTTTGAATTGCTGCGCTAAATATATTTATTTTAGATTAAAGATTATCAAAAATGATACAGGCACACCTTGTGCACACAATCAGCCCACTCCTCTCTCTCTGCGTGGGTTTGTTTGGTTTGGGGATACAGTAAACCGGCCCACTTGAGATTTTATTTTATAATCTCATGTGGCCGCGTTACTGTAGCAGAGAGAGGGGGTGTGGCCTGATGGGTGTGGCACAAGGTGTGCCTGTATGCCACTCAATATTTATAACTGCAACTTAAATATGTGTGAGTTATGGTGTTGCAAGCTGAAGATTTCCCCCCCCCCCCCCACTTTCTACATGACTTATTACTTGCATTGAAATTAAATACCTGAATTTTTTTTCCAAAATTATATGTTCCTAGCTTCCTGAAAGAAAAATGCCCCAGGCAGACCCCAAATAGGCGGACCCCAATGGCGACAGGTGAGGTGTCAGCACCCTGGGTGTGATTAACTGTCTTGAACAGTAAATCGCATCCTCAGGTGCTGACACGCTCACCTGTCCCAATTGGGGTTCCCCTTATTTAAGGCGTCCCTGTAGCAATCCCCTTCCTGAAATTGCTGAAGAAACGAAACAATAACGTTACCTTTTTTTAGAGCAATAAGGTATGCTTTTTGTACAATTTGGAGATATTATAATTGATTCAGAAAGACTAGTGGCTGACATAACTGTGTTGTTTAGAGCCGATGCAGACATAAATGTATTTAAAAAGGGTTATTTGCATATATATATATATATATATATATATATATATATACCCATTGAATCATGAGTATTTGCAAAAATACATTCAAACCTTAGTATTTGCAAAATTGCCCCTCAAATCACCAACTTTATGAAAAAAAATACTCCTAAATCAACAAATCATCAACTTCGTGCTACAAGTTTGATGATTTTGCTAATATTTTTTACGTTGTGGTTATAAATGAGCTTATCAAATGATTAATTGCTTTGAGGTTAATATTCTTCCAAAATTGATGATTTGATGAGTAGTTTTGCAAATACTAAGATATCCATAGCATTTTTTTTCCAAATACACATGATTTAGGGGCTATATATGCAAATAACTCAAAAAATGGAGACTAGATGTGTAGTGAGAGTGACAGAGGAGAGAAATAGAGAGAAAGAATGGACGAGTTAAGAGTACTAATGACTAAAGTGGTTCCCCTTTTTTAACGCCTCTGCATCTAATTTTTATCTTAATTCGCACTCGTGTATTAGATATATCTTGTTTACTATGAACACTCTTGTGTATATTTACTCATTTTATAGAATTTACGATGGTTAAAAGAGTTAATTATGGGTAGACCATTGTAGCGTCATCCTTCTGAGTGAAATTTTTGATTCTTGAACTTTTAGACGAAGTTTTTTTTTTTTTTTTTTTTTTTTTTTTTTGGAGATGACGAATAGGCCCCACGCATTGCTTTACAGGGTATAGAGCAATTTGCATTGGCGTATTACAGGGATCAGTTTGAAGAAATTATCTAGTGATGCCAAATTCATTACGATTTAAAAGGATGTGAGCCTTTTTTTTTTTTAATCCGGAACTTCGCGCCGGTCCCCTGAGAGAAAAAGGATGTGACACTGAAACCTCGCAACACTATACTAATAGTCTAATAGTAAGCCAGAAGTCTACTAGTAAGGACATAAATTTATCAAGGATTTCATGATGGATTAAAACCACTGAATATTTTCTTTATAATATTTGATTGCGTGGCATGAAGCATGCTCTTCTCGTATTGTAGTTAAAAAAGAAGAAATTTTCAAAATAGCCCCAAACCAATTCTTTTTTTAAAATAAACTCTCTTTCATTTTTATTACAGAAACAGACTCACTTTCTGACCACGGCAGCACCGTGGCCAGAAAATGGGTCTATTTTTTTTAACACATTTCTAATTAGTCAGAGCTGCCAACCCCGACTAATTTGCATGTTGCAACTGAGGTCTAAATTAGTTAGGGTTTGGCAACCCCGACTAATTAGGAAGGTGTTTAAAAAAATAGACCCACTTTCTGGCCACGGTGCTAACATGACCAGAAAGTGAGTCTGTTTCTGTAATAAAAACATAAGAGGGTCGATTTTTAGAAAAAAAATTTGATTTGGGACTATTTTAAAAATTTCTTCTGTAGTTAAACTCTGGCAGTTGGGGGTTGGATGGGATGTGGGGGTAGGCTAATATTCAATGTACATCTTCCCTCAACAAAACTAATATAAAAAACAATCCAAAAATAGAAAGAAATCGGGGGGAAGATCCAATGATGTCAATCTTGATGAGCTTTTTCTTTCCTCCTCCTCCCTCTCTCTTCATCACGGCCATGACCATTGTAAGCTTCACCTCTCTTGCATACACCGGACTCTCTGAAATCAGAGGGAAACACCTTCACTACTCCAAATTTTGGAACGTTGGAAATTCTTCGGAAAACAAAAAGATAGAAAATGAGATTAAAATCTCTAGCAGAGTTGGGATGCTCTTGTTCTATGGGCCCGCTGCTGCTGCGGCCGCGGCCTCTTTCTTTGTTCCAGGCTTGGTGGTTGGCCTTAGAGCTCAGTTGCTTAGCTGGGCTCTTCTTGTTCAATTCTTCAAGAGGGTACTTGAGGTAAATTTGGTTGTTTTTCGTTTATATTTGGTTAAGTTGGTTATTTATGCTTAGTACCCATAATCCAAAATTTCCCATTTTTGTTATCCAAAGAGTTTAGTGAATGACCCCTAAATAGAAAGGAGAAAAACTATGGAATAAACACTTATATTAGGATTTATTTTTGTTTTTTGTTTTTTGTTTTTTTTTTTTTTGTTAGAGTGGATAACCCAGCTTGGAATCGAACACAATACCTTGGGAGTCATATTGGAACCTCCCGACTGTCTAGGTCACCCATGGTGGGTTACTGCATTTAGATTTTAGCTTGGATTTCATTGTTTATTTTGGATATGTGAGATGCAGATCGGATGTCTATGATTTTATTTTATTTTATTCTCACATTTTCTCATTATTAATATTGTTTCAACAACCAAAGTAGATAAGAAAATCCTTTGCTTTATTTTTCAAGTTCTCCCTCATCTCCCTTGAAACCAGAATAATAAAACAAAACATGACAGAAAGGATAAAAAAAAAAGAAAACTAAAAATGTATTCCCCTCTTAATTAGTTTCCAGACATCATATTCACTAGAATAATCTCACGTTCAACCTTGAGTCATTGATTAAAAGGAGCAAAGATACAACTAGCATTGCTTGAAGTGAAGTACAAACTATTTAGTAGGAAGCAGCGGTGCGTGAAAGCTATCTTGCTTATTGTTTCAGTTAATTGATTTGTTGCAACTGTTCAAGCCTTTTCCAATAACTTAACTAGCTGGTCTATAGGTTTATTAATTTGTATAATATTTGTATAATAAGTCCACCCTTTTAATAAAGACTGATGATCATTAGGGTAAGTACCAATTCATGTAACTTGGAAACGATTCGCACTTCACAATATTCGGATTTTTATTTACTTTAATGATTAATGATTATAACCTCACAAATTCATCAATAAAAATGATCCCCCCACCACACTCCACAGTATCCTTTTTTCTTTTCTTTTAAATAACTTTTAACTGTTATAACCCCACAAATCTATTACAGATAAAAAGTGCCAGTACATGCATACGCTGTGTGTGTATACGCGCATATGCTTCGTTATTTACATGCAGCGTGTACACAAGAGGGAAGATCACACGCCTCACAAGAACTCAAGTAGATAAGAAAAATTCCTTAAGGACCCAAAATATGGGACCAATAGGGGGGACAAGTGAGGTGTCCCTCTCGTATTGGATAATGAGTTGACCATCATTAATGATGACCAACTCATTATCCAATAGGAGAGGGGCACCTCACTTGTCTCCCTAATTGGTCCCATAATTAAGTAGCAAAGCTCCTTGTAAAATTAAAGTGAAGGCCCTGGACGATATTAATGCACAGTCGAATCCATCTAATGAATATCCCCACCATTACACGGTGGTCAGCATTCAATTATTGCGACCCATCCTCCCCACAAAATACTGATACTGTTGATAGAGAAATACGGTTGGACATTCAATTTCTTTGTTCTTATCACATTGAAGCTAGTAGAAAATTAGTTATGTAGGCCATCAATGTGTCGCTCTAAGTTCCAGAATATTAAACTTTAGTACTATGCTTACTTTTGATCAGTTTGACGAAATACGTGAATGCAAATAAAATATAAGGGTAAGTTTCATAACCATTAACCACCACCCCTCTCCTCCAATATGTTAGGGATTTTATGGAAATTAATCTGTGAAATTAAACACTAAACGAATAACGTCACTAATGAAAATACCACAAGCAAGCAAACACTAAGATTTAACGTGGTTCAGCAAATCGTGCCTACGTTCACGTGGCAATCCAGAGAGAAATATTTCACTATGAATCAAGAGTATAATCCCTCCAAGTTCACCTGAACTTGAGAATTAAATCACAAGAGAAAGATACATTATTACCTCTAAGGCACCAAAACCCTAAAACTCGTCTGACCAAAAATCTCCAACACCCGCGGAGAAACCAACACCGTACTCTTGACGGCGTCGTTGTTCTAAAGACGACGACTTTTGAATCATTGCAATCGGACAACCGAGCTATCCGAAATCTCACTTTTTCTCTTTTTTTCTCTCTCCCCACTTTTTCTCTCAGGTTACTGGTCACGGTTTTCTATAGCACCGAAAAAATTACAGGTTTCTCATAAATAGAATTCCTTTATAAATGAATTTTATTTTCAAGTCCTCCAAACTTATTCCTATTACAATTAGATCATCAAAATCCTTTTCTAGATAGAATTTTAATTTATGTGGACATCATGTGGGCCTTATCTTGGACTGGACCTACAACACAATATACACTCTGAATGTTATAAATCAAAGAAAACCCCTTCGAACTTTCAAATTTATCCTGAATCGCCCTGAACCATTAGAAGTTTTCATAGACAACGTTAAAGGGTAGGGTGAAAAAAATTTAGAGTACATCTTTAGTTTTTAATTTCTACCTATCCGCAACCAGAGAAGGATAACATAGAAGGTACATTTAGTATATAGATGTTTGTCCAAAGTTTAAAGTAACTATTGTCAATCACGATACTTTAAGTGAGGAGTTCCTGAGGTATTTTTCTATGATTGATTTATAAATGATTAAATTCATTGAGTCTTTGTGCAAAACCTCCTATTAAAGTTCAGTTTTTTTTTTCTTCTTTTTTTTAACACCAAATGTAATATATGAATCGCAATACTTTAACCTGACCAGATATAGAACCAACAAAAATACTAGTAACAATACTGACTTATATCCTTCTATTTTATTTTCCAGGTTTTGTTCATTCATCAGTACAGTGGACAGATACTCCTTAGCTCAGCAGTTCCTATAACCTCAAGTTATCTTAGTGGCACGGTGAGCATGATATACACACAATATCTTTCTCAAAACATGACTCAACCATCAATAGATTTGAAATATCCAGGACTCGTTCTGTTTCTAATAGGAATTGCAGGCAATTTTTACCACCATGTCCTCCTGTCAAAACTGAGACAAAAGAATGAGAAAGGCTACAAGATCCCAAAGGGAGGTCTCTTCGGGTTGATTATATGCCCACATTATCTCTTCGAGATCATAGCCTTTTATGGAATCACTCTCATTGCACAAACTATGTATGCCCTTTCTTTCGCCTTGGGAACTACTGTCTATTTGATAGGTAGGAGTTTTGCTACGAGAAAATGGTATCTCTCCAAGTTTGAAAGATTTCCTAGAGAGGTCAAGGCCTTAATACCTTATATTTTCTAAGTGTGATTCTGGATCATGATCCCTATAGTAACTGGTTTGGGTGACGAAACTTCTAATGTTAGTGATGAAGCTATTTTCCTGCGGAATAGTTTGTGAAGTCTCCCTTATCACTAAGTTCTGTTAATGTTGAGGAATGAATTGGGTGTTTGTATCAATTTGCTAACTGTATAAATAAAGTTCTTGGATCTAATTTAGTTATGAAAGTCTGTATCATTTATTTGTTTTCTGACTACCCTCTTTTTTCTGTAATTGCTCCATTTAGATTCCTTTTTGGGTCTCTGATTTATGATCCCCCCCAAGGTTGCTGATAGCGGATCGCGGCGCGTCGCGGCGAGATACCGCTAAGGCTATATCGGGCTATTACGGCGAAATCGCAGCAAATAGCGCATAGTCAAATAGCGGTCAAATTTAAATATATTTAAATATCCTAAATAATAAGAAAATTCATAAAAAAATCTAAAAATTCAATTAGTTATAAATTTCTTGTATTATCAATAAATAACAATTAATAAGCTTGTTGTATGAATGAAACTATGAAGAAATTCAAGAAATATAGTATCATAATATGTGTGATAGTGGGTTTAGCGGGTTTAGCCGCTTTTAATAACAAAAATCCGCTTTTAACCACGAAAATCCGCTTTTAACCGCGAAAACCCACTTTTAACCCGCTAAAATCCGCTTTTACGCGCTATTCAAATGAATAGCGGATTTTTCCGCTTAAGCCAACCGCGAAACCCCTACGCGTAGCGCTGAAGGGCCGCGACCGCTATTCGCGCCGCTATAGCCCCGCTATTGGCCGCTATTTACAACACTGGTAAGATACATAATGAGCGTGCTAGGAACACTCTCTCCTACTTCTCATTTATTTATTTAGTTTCTTCTTTTTTTAGCAAACTAAAAGTAACGGTATTCTTAAAAGCTAGGTTGTTTAGTAATATGGATCTAGAAAACATGATCTCCTTGGCTTATAATATCAGCTGAATGAATTATTTGCATCTTTTTTACACATTGTTTTACAGTTCCTGTAACTTGTTGATTTTAGGTTATTGATAAAATTTCAGTAATGACATTTTTTTAATAACATAATTACGGATTTTTAGGGTAACTACTAACTACTGATTGATATAACTTGGAAAAGATTACAATCCATAATGACCGGGTTACTGTGTTTTTTAAATGTTGTAGTAGTCCATATCCATCAAGCATACTTTTAGTTTGATATCAAGTTTCATCCTGTCAATAGGATTTCATTCTCAATGTAACCTATTTTTTAATTCCCAGTCGAGTGTTTAAGAGTATGATGCCCACAAAATAGCCAAAGCCATTACTTTACTATCTGAATCTACAGTTTTGGCAACACTAATGCATTTCTTAACCTTCCACATCCTTTACAATGATGCAAAATCTTTCTAAATGTACTCACAGAAATTAAACCTGACGAAGAAATAGCTGTCATGACAATTTAGCCAATTAAAAGGAGCTAGGTTGGTTAGAGGGAATGATGGGAGAGGCTAAAAAGGGGCAATCAGACACCCAAGGGTTTAGGGTTAAAACAAAGAAACTCAAGAGAATTTGAGCTGACAAGTAGAAATGAAGTAAGGGTAATATTCATCCAGACCACACTCGATTTCTTGGCAGAAAACAATATAAATAAACACTTGAACCCACCTGATAACTACCTTGATCATAATTCAGTATTGTATCCAATTATTGCGATTCATAAACCTGCACCAATGACTGTTGATATTGTTGACACAGAAATACAGTTGATACTTCAATTTCTTTGTTCTTATGATGTTGAAACTAGAAGCTAGTAGAGGATTAGGTATAGTTATTTAGGTCAAGGCCTTGATTCTAGCTATTCAGGGTGACAAACACTTGTAGGGTTGCCAGTGATGATGCTACTTTCATGTGGAGTACATTCTGAAGTCTCTCTTACCATTCAATTGTCAGTGTGGAAACAAACTGGGTATTCATATCAAATTGCAACATGTATAAATAAATTTCTTCCAATATTGTGATTGAAGTATGTATCATTTGCTGGTATTTTAATCTAGAACCTATTCTTTTGGGTCGCTGATTAAGATGCATGACATAACAACTACAGAAAACCGCTAACCGCTAAAAAACACAGATTCGGATGCACATAATGATTTTACAACACTGTCACCAGGAACAGGCAAAATTTTGAAACCAAACTCAAAAACAAACAAACAAACAAAATTGATCCATGACTACATTTCTGATATTCATGTCAGAATATTTCAAGCATGCACATTGCAGTCACAAAAATTAGTAATGAATAAACCTCTAAAAACTTACAGTTATACTTTCCTTGCTAGCGTCCTCTGCTTGGTTGCATGCTGCACAACCTTTTCCTCCACTGGAAGCCCTTTCCTTCGTCTGACAGCATTCATGAGCTTCCGAGCCATATTTGGAAGGATACTCGAACCATCTCCAAACTCCTCAATTTCCTCTTCAGTTTTAGGAACAAAGAATGGGTCCTCTGCCAATTCTTCCCAATGACTAAATACTAAAAGAGCACTCGAAGCCCCAGATGTCCATCTCCTAAGCTCATCGGCAAACCCAAAACTCTCTGCAACAGGTACATATGCGTGAACAGTAAACAGAGAAGAGCCTTCATTCATCTCCTCTTTCAACACCTTTGCCCTTCTTCTAGAAAGAACAGCATACATTGACCCCAAATACTCTGTCGGTGTGCTCAACTCACAGAAATACATTGCCTCCACAAGCCTCGGTTTGTTTTGAAGCACCGCTGACTTACAAGCTTCTTTCACAGCAGTCATAACTTGTCCGCTAAGGCTAGCGTGTTGCCCAGCATGATTTAAAGATTCAGAATTGTCTGAAAATAAATAAGGTTCGATGAGAAATGCTAGACCCCACAGAGGTTCATCACATAATGGTCCAGCTGCAGTGGCTAACTGAAACCCTGATACAAATGCTAGACCCCACAGAGGTTCATCACATAATGGTCCAGCTGCAGTGGCTAACTGAAACCCTGATACTATACTGCTTTTGAGACCCTCAGCTTCAACATATAAGGACCTGGCTTCACCACTTGATTCTTCGACATTTGAATAAATTTTGGCGTTTTCCTTTAGAAACCCTAGTCTTTCAGAGATATGACATGACCCGCGTATAAGAATTCCCCTTTGGCCCCCGCTCGAGTAAATAACATCACTTGCTTTTGAGTCAGGAACAATAAGGATATTAGGCCCAACGTGCCCAGGACCCAGAGACCAAATCCTCTGCAGACACTGCAAAACTAAGCTTTTGTAGTTATCACCTTTTTCTTTATCGCTTTTCACAACAGTTTCCAACTCCGCCTCTAAAGAGTCAATGATGCGCTTTCTCAGAGTTCCAACAGAATCACTGTCATCAAGAGACCCGCAAGTTTCCAAGCTTCCATTTATCTTGCTAGACTTCCCATCTACTATATCTCCCAAAATCTCACCACTCTCTTCAAGTATTTTTGTTAGAGCAGACGGGAGTTTTAGGACTTGCACCCTCACAAGGAACCTTCCATTTGTAATGGTTTTTTCAACATATTGGGTACTATTAGCAAGTGATCCCTTTAAATTCAAGTAGTCTAAGAAACTGAATTCTTCCCCTTCAATTGTTTCTTTATAGGATACAAGTGGAGGGGAAACTTCCAAGCTTACCTTGGCAAATCTTTCTTTCAAATCCTTTATACATCTCTCTAAATGAACCTCTCCAGCAGCAGCAAGCACTTGTTCACCTCTAGCAGAAACAGTAACTTCTACAAAAGGGTCAGCTCTGTTGAGAAGCCTCAACCCTTTCATTAGTGCACCCATATCAGCAGGGTCTGAAGGCTCAATAGCCACTCTAAGAGTTGGTGAAACCTGAAACATCATGCTTGAGAAAGGCCAGCAATTTTTAGTGGATGAAAGTGTGGCGCTCTTCAAAATATATTGCCCCAGCCCCTGAATTGCCACTATGTTACCAGCAGTAGCAGAGGAAACAGGCTTGAGACCTTGACCCATCATAAGATATAACGATTGAATCTCTGCTTCTTGCATAGCAGAGGAAACAGGCTTGAGACCTTGACCCATCATAAGATATAACGATTGAATCTCTGCTTCTTGCACATGTTTTTGCATTGATTCTCCATTCAATGGATCATATAAAGCCGAAAGCACAAAAACCTTCTGACCCAAGTGAAGAACCCCGCTGAAAATCCTAGCAAATGCAAGAAAGCACTCATCAGATTCTCCAATTTCACCATTAGAATTGTGATTCAGGGCTTCACCATTGGAACTTCTTTGAGGAAGCATCTTCATTGGAACTGCAAACATTTTCGAAACAAAGGCTATGCAAGGAGCCTCAGCACTAGAATCACAATCCTCAACACACTTCCTCACATGCTCAGCCTCAGAAATAACAGAGCTTAAATCAGGGTCTTTGTCAACTACCTCTTTCTTTGGAAGCAATCTTGCAATCCGAAAAGACTGAGCAGCGACTGGATCAGGAATGCACTTAACAACCATAAACAAAATTGACTCAGATAAAGGAAGCCAGCGACTCATTACAGATTGCAGTACAACCTTTGGATCCTTATGCTGGAGTTCACGGGGCGGAACTGACAAATTAAAGCTCTTGATGACCTTATTTAGCAACCCTTTATCTCCATCGGCCTCCAAAGCTCCTTGATAAACTTGCCAAAGAGGTTTAAGCACAAACTGAACAAACATAGGCTGAGGATCTTTACTAACACCCTCCATCCCCTTCTTCCCCACAATCATCATCTTCTTCGTGTTAAAATATCGAGGACCCCATAAACCTTTTAATAGCGCATTACTGCTCGCTCCGAGCTTAGATGCATAAAAATCTGCAAACTGGTTAATACTAAAACCCCACCCATCCAAAGCACACACAAATGCAACATTCCCCTTCTGAGGCTGAAACGTATCCTCCTCGTCATCCTCTACAAATTCTTCGCTCAAGTCATCACCGATCGTCACTGCAAGGAGAGAATCAACATCGGATAGATATTTCTCTGACTTATATGCACTCACAATCCCATTAACCTCATGAACAATCCTCTGCAATCGAGTATAAGCTTCCATCGGACTCAACTTCAGCTCCGTAATCAACCTATCAATCTTATTAATAACCAAACAAAGAGTCAACTTCTCAACCCAAGCCTGACGAAGAACCGCATGTGTTTGTATGTGAACCCCTTCGACCGCATCAACCAACACAAGAGCTCCATCACTTAATCTCGCAGCAGTAGAGACTTCACTACAAAAATCCATATGCCCTGGTGAATCAATGAGATTGATCGAATGGTCTTTGTATTGAAGAGCAATCGAAGAGCTTTTCATAGTAATAGCTCGTCGCTGTTCCTCATCAAGATAATCCAGGAATCTAAGTCTTCCAGCGAGTTTAGGGTGCAGAACTCCACCGCCACAAGCTGCAATGAGATGGTCAGCAAGTGTTGTTTTGCCGTGATCGACATGAGCAAGAATGCAAATGTTTCGGACTTTTCGGCAGTTTGAATTCTCCATCACAAATGGAAAACGGATAATTGCAACAGATTTTATATCGGATTATAAAAAACCACCCTGCAAAAAAAAAGAATTTATATGAAATAACCACATCATAACAGTGAAAGCCTCAGACTTCTAATAGTACCTTCTCGATAGATTGTGTAAAGCTATTAGAAATCTCTAAACAACAAATTTATCAAAAGCTTAAAATTAAACGCAAACCCTAATTTTGACGAACAATCAGATCATAACTGAAGCAATTGACCCAACAAGATCCCAACTTTATCTAATTAGAAAACCAATTAATTGAAAAAAAAATATACAAAAATCTAAGATTACCTGTGTTACTACTTGAGAAATTGGAGACGATTGCCGTTTGGGTTCTTTTCTGTGATTTATCGGAGAAACTCTCAGCTTGCTTCCGAAGAATAAAACAAACATAATATTGACTAAAGAGCTTCGAATCACGCCGCCGGATTGTCTCAATCGCTACCTTTGCTTTCCCTGAGATGGATCGAATTCTGAGCTTACTACTGATTGATTCAAAGCTCTCACGAGATCTTCGTTGGCTTGCCTACCGAATGGTGATAAAGTAACAGGAAACCCCAAAGAATAAAACGAAGCAAAATTTATAAAGAGATTTATTTCTAAGGTTTTCTTAACGCTGAGGTGACAAATTCCTGGATGGAGAAGGATTAGGGTTTTGAAACGGATTTTGATTTTATGTTTCTTCTTTCTTTCTTTTCTAATGTCCGGCTGCTTTTCTAGAATTGGGGTCCGGGGGTTTCCGATTCCTCGAAGTAGGAAAAGCGTTTCCCTATCGGGTCGGGTTAGATGAGGAGCGGGTTGTTGTTGGGGTATCCGCTATACCTTAGCAAAATGGTTATTTTTGTTCCCCTTGCACTATTTACTAGTTCAATGGTACATTCACAACGCATGCGATAAAAAAAATATAAAGAAACTTATAGATTATTGAAGTAATGAATTGAAAACTTTTATTAAAATTAAAATTGAGTTAGTTTAATTGAGAAATATGAATTTTAGTGTGAGTGTGAAAGAGAGGGACAACGCGGAAATTTAACAGAAGGGATGTTTATATTGGTGCGAACGAGGATTAAGAGAATAAATCAAACTTATGCAAAATAAAAAAAATTTCCTGCCTCAAGTAAAATCCAATTTCCATCTTTAATTTTCTTTGCGCCCAAGCTCTTCAGTTCTTCCTTCATATGGTAGAATAGATAGCTTTGCTACTCTCTTTTTAATTATTTATCTGTGCCTGATAAGTTTCGAGGGAGAGCAATTTTTCTATAATTTTACCAAAGAACCCTAGCATTTTGCTGAATTTTTTTTTTTCCCTTTATTAGTTCGAACCCCAAATACGCCTTGTTTGATGAAACTAGATAATTACGTTTGGCACAATAAAAGAACTGCTATGTTACCATAGATGCCTACTTATTTGCTCGATACCATATATTCCTATTAAGTTTGCATGAATCAATCCTTCGCTTTATTATTAACTTAATATTTCTAAAATTGCCATTGTTATGCTAGAGATAGCAATATAGCCTGTTTTCAGTACAAACTACTACTAAAAGCAATTAATCCAGTATTTATTACAATAACAAAAAGAAAGAACACATTGTCTTCATCAGATATCACAATTGATCAACTGTAATACTGTAGTAGGGATCTGCGTAAAACAAATGAAAAAGTATTCTAAGAAAATTTTCAGGTTTGACTTTCAAACATTGCAAGAGTATAGATACTGAGAAAAGTTTTTATGTGTAATAAATGTTATACAACAAAGTTCTTTTCCTTCCTAAAACGGAGAGAAATTCAAGAAAATTTTTATGGTCTCACAAAAGAATATATGCTGAAGTTACATGCACGAACCAAAGCCATGTTAGACAGGCGTAACATAAGCCACATAAGAGCCGTTCGAATATTTGAGAGACCTCAATGAAGACGAACGCAATTGAGGACTTGGAATAGCTTCAGGAACTCCCAAGGCATCACCATCTTTTGGCAAGGAGTTACTCGAATCTGTAGATGGATCATGTCCCTGGCAGAGAGACTCAAGGGCAACATTCAAACCTATTGATGATGGCTCAGTTGTGAAGCTGCAATTAGCACAAAACAAAGATCTTCCAAGCATAAGGTTCAATAGTGTGTTGAATCTATATACACATTTTTATTCAGATTTTAAGAAGTTTCTCGATAAAATGAGAGAAATTTGATTGAGATGGTTTGATCGTGTACGATAGAGATTACTAAATGCTCGATTTTAGGTAAGTGATAAGATTATAGCTCATGATGTTGTCATGTGGGGATACTTCAGCAGGCAGTTTCCGATGTCACCAACATGGAACAAGTTTTTTTCATAAGGTGCAAGAGTATTTAGGTATTCATGTTAGGGATTTACCCCCTGTGACTGTATGTGTGAGTATTTCGAATTTTCTCTAGGGGAGTGGGAAATCACAGAGCGCGGCTTATAGAGAGATCCGAAAGAAATCCTCCATTATACATATATTGGAAGCTAGACAGATGGCTGATTAGCACCGTGAATCCTCAACACGTGGGATAAAAAGGACTAGATGACCTTGGTTGGAAGCAATTAAAAAAGACATCGTAATAATTAATTTAGAGATGGAGCATAAGAAAACTGCACGGAAGAATATGATTTAGCAAACCCGAAAATTTTGGGAATAAGGCTTTGTTGTTATTGTTGTGTTATATTTAAGTACTAGCCGCTGCAAAGTCTAAGACAGATCTTCACATACCTAGACTCGAAACTTCTACCATCTGATCTCATTGCTGCACAAATTCCAGAGACAGTCCATGGTGGAATAATTGTATCCTTTATTTCAATACTATAGCAAACAGCACTTCCAGAGCCTATAGTGACTTCACTGCCCTCTGCATATGACCCGCTAGAACAAGGAAGAACTGCATCAGCTCTCCTCATCTCCCTGCATCTTACCTGAAGAAAAAAAAAAGGGATTAACAAGAAGGAACATATTTCAACCAAGTTTGACAGTGCATGGCAGTAAATGCTCAATATGTAAAATAGGAAATTCAGCATAAACGTAGAGAATAATTATATCATGGTGCTTAAGACCAAATTCCACTATTTCTCCATTATGATCCATGAAACAAGTGAAGCACAGCCAGAAAGACTGTTTTAACCAGCCATCTTAGTGTTTCTTCTTCCTGAACAAAAAAATATGGTTTTCCTATGTTCCTTAATTTAGGAAATGCAAGTTCAAATTTAGGAAATGCAAGTTCTGTTATATGAATCACTTCATAGCAAATTATACACTGGTTTTTCGGTAGGTAACATGATTCTACATCCCAGTATAAACAAAACTAGCAAAGCAGTGTAGCTAATCAAACTGACCTCTGGAACAGAGAGAGAAGCATTTTGAAATGGCACCGGTGCATATAGTACAGGAACGTCAACACCCGTCAAAGAATTCAGGAAGAACCTTAAGAATAAAAAGGAAAAGAAAAACACTTAGATCCAATGTAAACATGATACGTAGCAAACAGAAAGTAGAAACAACCATATCACCTGTAATTTAGCAGAAAGTCATATAAGCCATGGACAATTTCATTTCCAGTAAATGCTAGGAGAGACTGAGGGTTGTTATCCACATCATTCATAGAATCCATTTGTATGGTCTACAAAGGGAAGAGAAATAATCATCAAAGTCAGTACTTTGAAAAAAATGCATGGGAAATAAAACAGATAACACAGAATATATAGTAAAAAAAAGATAGGCTAAAACCTGGCCCAAATTTCGCTTCTCAATCTCTGAGAGCTCAACTAAATCATCAGCAGCAGCTTGTTCCACTTCAACACAGCAGAGAGGCATTGAGAAATGAATATCCTGTTTAAAATTTGGAAAAATTGGATATAGTCAAGTAAGCAGTTATATCATAGCAGAAGATAATAGATCTAACTAAACAGACAAAATTAGTAACCAATGTCAAGTAAGCAGTTATATCATAGCAGAAGATAATAGATCTAACTAAACAGACAAAATTAGTAACCAATCACAGACAGGCATTCATGAGGATCCCAAGTAGGGGTGCTAAACCATATCTGTATCCGAGGAAATATATGTATCCGTATCCAATAGGATAAGGATATGATTACTCAAATCTATAACCGATAGGATATGGTTATTATGAATATGTTTTTGTAGTGAAATATACGATCCGTATCCGAAATATCCAAATACACATTAGTCATATTATTACGATAGTTTTAATTCTTAGATCTTAGATCATGGATTTGAAGTTAATTTTGACGATCAAGATGTCTCATCTTAACTTTTCAGATATAATGGACATATTAATGAACTCTTTCGCATCACATAAACTATATTTTTTTTAATATTATATCTATTTTGTATCTACATGCATATCCGCTTGTATATTCGTATCTGTATCCAATTTTAGCAGATATGAATATAAATTTTCCTTACATAGGTATATTCGTATCCATATCCATATACGAGATGGGTAAGCGGATATGGATATGGTAAGTATCATATCCGAGCCGTTTCCGGATCGAATGCATCCCTAACCCCAAGTATATGTCAAATTCCCTGTGAATAATGAATGTATTATGACCATTATTATATAGGTCTTTTTTTAGTTCTTACAATCTAAAGAAACAATCAAGTTTAATAACTGAAAACAAACTTGCACTGCCACAGCGAGTAATATGAACCATACATGCAAAGGTATGACTGAAATGTGACGCTGTTACTTGCATAAAGCCAACGAATACAATTATAAATATAAAAAGCTCACAACTAGGTACTTCGAAGAAGACAACCTAGCATAACAAGTAATTTAATCTATTTAGCCAGTTTTTAGAAAACATCTTTTGTTCTGATCTGCCCCTGATTGGTTTCTGATTTGCCCCTGATTGGTTTATGTGGTGAGCAACTTTACATAGATTCGATATTAATATTTCTTTCTTTTTTTTGGAGAGAATGAATGCCAAGGAATTTTTCTTTTTAATGTATTCCTAGTGTGAAAAAACCCAAACTAGGAGCTTACATGTTTTTTCAGCAAGGATCGTAAACCTCGGGTAGATTGTGAAAGGTAAGCATTACATGAATGCTTCTTCCCCAAAAAGTTGCCACCAATGAATAATACTACAAACTGTGTAGTATAAACTGCAAAATTCCATCAAACAAAATGAATGAGAGAGTAAAATGAAAGGAAATATCGTCGAAAATTTGCAAAATATTTCAAGTAGATAATTATGAAAATAGTCTGAAACAAAGATAAAACATGTCTATGCAATGCAGTAATGCATGAAAGGACACTGGTTCTTTTTAGGTGTTTCAACAATTGTAAAGGCTTTAAAAATCTCAACCCATTAATGGGACAGGCAATGTTATAGAAAGTGCTAGGCGGTCTAGGAGTTGGACCCGACACCTAGAACCTAGGTGCCTAGACGGCTTTCCTATTTTTTTATTTTTTAACTACAATAATTTATAGTAAATGCCAATATTATAAAAAACTTAGGCGTCGAACAGGCGCCTAGGTGGGTTTCTTTCTTCGTTCAAGTGGTGGTCAAGAAGGTTTTGCTAAAGGTTGTAGGAGGTAGAGGAGATGTTGATAGTTGGAGGTTGGAGGAGATTGGAGGATGTGGAGACTGCAACGGAGGAAATCACAATCAAGGCCTAAAAGGTGTAGTCCATGTACGCAGACTGTGATCCCCTTGACACCCCCAAAACTATAGGTGGGCAACCTACATACTGTTGGATTTAATCTAATAAATCTATTTGTGGGCACATATGATTAATCAATGTGTATTGCTATCTTTCAGGATAACCCATTAAAGTGATCAATTAAGTTGGGTTAATTTGGTATTTAAATAAGTCATGGGGTTATATGTGCAGATACCAGGTTGTAATTGTAATTTATTGAGGGGCTAAATTACAAAAGTACAACATCTATAAATAAGGGGTTATGGTCCCTAACCTAGGGTTACATTCTCTAATTCTCTTCAACCCCATCTAAGAGAGAAATTCGGCTAAAGAGAAAACCCTAAGGTTAGAAGATCCAAAACCCAAAAATCAAGATCAATCTATGGACTCAGGTATAAGCTTCCGCTCTCTTTTGATTTTGTTAATCTCTTTGAATTAATCATGGCTATATGGTTTTAGATCTCAAGTTTTATTGATTTAGATCTAACAAGTGGTATCAGAGCCACCTTGATTAATTCTTAGGGATTTAAGTTTTATTGGGTTTTTGATCTTAAATCTCTGGTTAAAGATTCATTTTTTTTGGGTTCGGATGAACAGTAATGTTCGGTGAACAGTACCGAAATTTTTTGGGGTGAGCAGTAAAGTATTTTTCGGATGAACAGTAACTGAAAAATCGCTGGTGAACAGTAACTTTTGGGAATTTTTTGGGTTTTTCTTTGATTTTTTCTTCATTTTTTTCCAATTCTGGATCTGTTTTGAAAATAAAAATCAAAGATTTTTTGGGTTTGACGGCGACGGTTTCAATTTGAAACCCTAAGGGTTCATGGCGAAAATTAAGGAGGTGGTTACCTCAAACGAACCTCGCGTTCGTTCAATTTTAACCGAGCTTCGCGCTCAACGAACCTCGCGTTCGTTCTAAGGTGAACCTCGCGTTCAACTCAGGTGAGCGTCAAGCTCAATTTTAACGAACCTCGCGTTCGTTCTAAGGTGAACCTCGCATTCAACTCAGGTGAGCGTCAAGCTCAATTTCAACGAATCTCGCGTTCGTTCCCAAGGTGAACCTCGCGTTCAACTCAGGTGAGCGTCAAGCTCAATTTTTTAACGAACCTCGCGTTCGTTCTTCAGACGAACCTCGCGTTCGTACTTCAGACGAACCTCGCGTTCGTACTTCAGACGAGCCTCGCGTTCGTGCTTCAGTCGAGCCTCGCGTTCGAACTTCAGACGAACCTCGCGTTCGTACTTCAGACGAACCTCGCGTTCGTACTTCAGTTGAACCTCGCGTTTATTTTTTTAACGAACCTCGCGTTCGTTCCCAAGTTGAACCTCGCGTTCTTTTATCAAACGAACCTCGCGTTCGTTCATTTTCAGACGAACCTCGCGTTCGTGCTTAAGTGAGTCTCGTACTCAATACAGTCGAACCTCCGTTCGTCCTCAGACGACCCTCGCGTTCGTGCTTCAGTCGAGCCTCGCGTTCGAACTTCAGACGAACCTCGAGTTCGTACTTCAGACGAACCTCGCGTTCGTACTTCAGTTGAACCTCGCGTTCATTTTTTTTAACGAACCCCGCGTTCGTTCCCAAGTTGAACCTCGCGTTCTTTTATCAAACGAACCTCGCGTTCGTTCATTTTCAGACGAACCTCGCGTTCGTGCTTAAGTGAGTCTCGTACTCAATACAGTCGAACCTCGCGTTCGAAGTTAAGGGAACTTCGTGTTCATTATGGTTAAGCCTCGGCTTTTCATGGGTCCACTTTGGTATACTTAATTTATTCAATTAAGTTATGGGCCCTAATTAAGCTGTGAGACCCCAATTAAGTTTTTGGAAATTCAGTTGATTTAAATTTTTTAATTTAAATCTAATTCGGTTTTTAATCAATTATTTAATTCAAATATTATGACACTAAGGTATTAAGGTTGTCTCTCACTCCAATTGATTAATTGAAACAAGAAGTTGCCAAAGTAACCTCTCTTGTGTAGATTGTTCATGAGGAATGTGAGATGTTTGTGTGTATGCTTTCGTGTAAATATTTAATCGGCCCAAAGGAAGGTTAATATTTATTTAGACTGTATACACATCTGCGATGATAAGCGTGTGACAATTATAAGGTTTACATGTGAATAATGAATCGATCCAAAGATAGTTTCATTATTTGACATGAGTTATTGTCAATGTTTGATCATTGCAACAAGGTATCACTTACAAGTTAATATTACTGTCCAAAGACTTGATATTAATGTTGTGCCGGTATCTTGGATGGGGATTGTCATTATTTGAATTTTATTGATTATGGTTATTGATGTGAGCATTCTTTTGTTTTATTTCAGCTAATGCATCTGCTGCAACAATTTCTGCTAACATCAACTCAATTCCCATGCTAAATGGGACAAACTTCAAGGTTTGGAAAGAGAACATATTAATTGTTCTTGGCTGCATGGATCTTGACTATGCATTAAGAACTGAACAACCCCAACCTCTCAATGCGGATAGCACTCCTGATGCAAAGAAGGAGCATGAGAAGTGGGAGCGTTCAAATCGCATGAGTCTTATGATCATTAAGCGCGGCGTTCCGGAAGCCTTCAGGGGCATAGAATCCGAAGGGATTACTAAGGCTAAAGATTTCCTTGCCGAAATTGAGAAGCGTTTTGCGAAAAACGATAAGGTAGAAACAAGCACGCTTTTAGCTCGCTTGATTTCAATGAAGTATAAGGGCAAAGGAAATATCAGGGAGTACATTATGGAAATGTCTCATATTGCTTCAAAGCTTAAGGCACTTAAACTCGATCTTTGTGACGAGTTATTAGTGCATCTGGTTTTGTTGTCTCTTCCTGCACAGTTTAACCAATTTAAGGTCAGTTATAACTGTCAAAAGGAGAAATGGACTCTAAATGAGCTCATTTCATACTGTGTGCAAGAAGAAGACAGGTTGAAGCAAGATAAGACAGAAAGTGCTCATTTGGCCTATGCCTCTAAGGATAAGGGCAAGAAAAGGAAGAATGATAAGGAAGCTGCTAAGGGTCCAGTTGAGAAGAAACAACATAAGGATAATCAGGGTTGTTTCTTCTGTAAGAAGCCTGGACATGTAAAGAAGGACTGTACAAAATATCACGCCTGGCGTGATAATAAGGGTACGTTCCTTGCTTTGGTCTGTTCTGAGGTTAATTTAGCTTCAGTACCTAGAAACACTTGGTGGTTAGACTCTGGTGCTACTACTCACATAAGTGTTTCTATGCAGGGTTGCCTGAGCTACCGAAAGCCAAGTGATGTTGAAAGACACATCTTTGTGGGCGACGGACAATCGGTAGATGTGGAAGCAATTGGGCACTTTAGGTTGTTGTTAGGAACTGGTTATTATTTGGATTTAAAAGATACTTTTGTAGTACCGTCTTTTAGACGGAATTTGGTTTCTGTTTCTGTATTGGACAAATCAGGTTATTCTTGTTCATTTGGAAACAGTCAATTCAGTTTATCTTTTAATTCAAATGTTGTGGGAACCGGTTACTTGAGTATTTATGACAACCTATATTTGCTTGATACAATTGCTTCTTACAATGAATCCTTGCATGTGGAATCACGTGGTACTAAGCGTAAATTAAATAAGGAAAATTCGGCGACATTATGGCATAAGCGCTTAGGTCATATCTCAAAAGGTAGAATTGAGCGTCTTGTGTCTGATGGCATTTTGGATTCCCTTGATTTTTCGGACTTCGACGTATGTGTTGAATGTATCAAGGGAAAACAGACCAAAGTGAAAAGATTAGGTGCCAACAGATCTTCGGATGTCTTAGAATTGATACATACGGATATTTGTGGGCCATTCCCTACGGAATCCTGGAATGGTCAACAATATTTTATATCATTCATAGACGATTACTCACGTTATGGGCACCTATATCTTATTCATGAAAAATCTGAGTCTCTGGACATGTTCAAAGCCTATAAAGCTGAAGTTGAGAATCAACTCAACAGAAGAATTAAAACCGTCAGATCTGATCGTGGTGGTGAGTACTACGGTAGATATGATGGTTCAGGTGAACAACGTCCAGGACCATTTGCTAGATACCTAGAGGAATACGGTATCGTCCCACAGTACACCATGCCGGGTTCACCTAGCATGAATGGTGTAGCTGAAAGACGAAACAGGACTCTTAAGGATATGGTAAGAAGTATGATTGCTCATTCTTCTTTACCAGAGTCACTCTGGGGAGAAGCACTTAAGACAGCAGCTTACATTCTGAATAGAGTACCAAGTAAAGCAGTTGCTAAAACACCTTATGAGCTTTGGACTGGTCGAAAGCCCAGTTTAAAGCATTTACATATTTGGGGATGTCCAGCTGAGGCAAGGCCTTATAGGCCAAATGAAAAGAAATTGGACTCCAAAACAGTTAGCAGCTACTTTATTGGATACTCTGAACGCTCTAGGGGCTTTAAGTTTTATGATCCCACTATAAGGAACATTTTTGAGACGGGAACAGCAACATTCTTTGAGGATGTTGAGTTTGGGGGGAGAAATAAGGTTAGAGACATTAGTTTTGAGGAGGAATTGGCTTCAGATCCAATCCATACAGTTACTTTTGACAATATTCAGGTTCCTATACCTGTTGTTGCTCAAGAAGTAAATCCGGAACCTCAAGATGATAATGTTGAACAACTCCCTGTTCCAGAAGAACAAACTCAACAACCTCAAGAACCAGTGCCATTAAGGAGATCCACGAGAGAAAGGAGAAATGCTATTCCGGATGATTATATTGTATTTCTCCAAGAACATGAGGAAAGTAGTGGAATGTTAGAAGATGATCCAATCAACTTCTCTCAGGCCATGAAAAGTTCTAACTCTCAACAGTGGATTGATGCCATGAATGAAGAGTACAAGTCTATGCAAGACAATAAGGTTTGGGAACTTGTCCCATTACCAGAAGGTGCAAAACCAATTGGTTGTAAATGGATTTTTAAAACCAAGCGGGATGCAAACGGTAATGTGGAGAGGTATAAGGCACGTCTTGTGGCTAAAGGCTATACTCAAAAGGAAGGCATTGATTATACAGAGACTTTCTCTCCGGTTTCATCGAAAGACTCTTTCAGAATAATCATGGCACTTGTTGCTCATTATGATCTTGAGTTACATCAGATGGATGTTAAGACTGCATTTCTCAATGGAGACATTGATGAGATGATCTATATGGTGCAACCAGAAAACTTTGTGTCGGGAGACCCAAAGAATATGGTCTGCAAATTAAGGAAATCCATCTATGGACTCAAGCAAGCTCCTCGTCAATGGTATCATAAGTTTCAACAAATAGTTATCTCGTTCGGTTTTGAGATGAACATTGTTGATGACTGTGTATATCACAAGTTCAGTGGGAGTAAGTATATTTTTCTGGTTCTGTATGTGGATGACATCTTGCTTGCCACTAATGATATAGGCATGTTGCACGAAACCAAGAGATTTCTATCAAAGAATTTTGAGATGAAAGATCTTGGGGACGCCTCTTTTATATTAGGGATCCAGATACATCGAGATCGCTCTCGGGGTATTCTTGGATTATCACAAAAGAGCTATATCGATAAGGTACTTAAAAGGTTTGGCATGCAAGATTGCAGACCAGGTGACACCCCTGTTGCTAAAGGAGACAAGTTTAGTCTCAATCAGTGCCCTAAAGGTAACCTTGAAATTCAGGAAATGCAGAAGATTCCTTATGCTTCGGCTGTAGGAAGTCTAATGTATGCTCAGGTATGTACGCGTCCGGATATTGCGTACATTGTTGGGATGTTAGGCAGATACTTAAGCAACCCTGGTATGGATCATTGGATAGCAGTCAAAAGGGTTATGAGGTATCTTCAGAAAACAAAAGATTACATGCTCACATACAGAAAATCAGAGAAATTAGAGGTCATTGGGTATTCGGACTCTGATTTTGCTGGATGCCAAGATAGCAGGAAGTCTACATCAGGCTACATTTATATGTTAGCAGGAGGAGCTATATCATGGAAAAGTGTCAAACAAACACTAGTAGCTTCCTCCACTATGGCAGCAGAATTTGTAGCTTGCTATGAGGCATCCAATCAGGGAATATGGCTGCGAAATTTTGTCACGGGACTGCGCATTTTGGAAAATGTTGAAAGACCACTAAGGCTATATTGTGACAATAAATCTGCAGTAATGTATTCCAATAACAACAGGAGCTCAACTAAGTCAAAACATATTGACATTAAGTTCCTGGTTGTGAAAGAAAGGGTACAGAGTGGACAGATATCCATAGAGCACATTGGGACAAACTCCATGATAGCTGATCCTCTTACTAAGGGATTGCCACCTAAGGTCTTTCATGAGCATACTGCTCATATGGGTGTGGTATTATTTGAGGATATTATGTTTTAGTGGGAGTTTGTATTTGTGGTGCTTTATGTTTGGTTGTATTGTCTGATCAGAATAAAGTATTCAGTTAAGACACTCTGTTACATTATGTTTGGTTTTGACCTCACTAAGGAGGACCAGTTGAAAATAGACATGTACTGATCACATTGCATGTAATTTTCATGCTGCACATCCATGATTGATCTATGTCGTTTGATTGTATTGGTATATGTGACCATTGATGGGTCGAGTCACGATAAATGTGACGAAGGCCGCTTTGATCCTATATTGATATAGTCAATGGACGAGATTGTTCGGAAATACCATTTCAGTGATAGCAATTTTTGAGCTCATAAGGTTATACACAGTTTAAGGAATCATATGGTGCCCAAGTGGGAGATTGTTGGATTTAATCTAATAAATCTATTTGTGGGCACATATGATTAATCAATGTGTATTGCTATCTTTCAGGATAACCCACTAAAGTGATCAATTAAGTTGGGTTAATGGGTATTTAAATATAATCATGGGGTTATATGTGCAGATACCAGGTTGTAATTGTGATTTATTGAGGGGCTAAATTACAAAAGTACAACATCTATAAATAAGGGGTTATGGTCCCTAACCTAGGGTTACATTCTCTAATTCTCTTCAACCCCATCTAAGAGAGAAATTCGGCTAAAGAGAAAACCCTAAGGTTAGAAGATCCAAAACCCAAAAATCAAGATCAATCTATGGACTCAGGTATAAGCTTCCGCTCTCTTTTGATTTTGTTAATCTCTTTGAATTAATCATGGCTATATGGTTTTAGATCTCAAGTTTTATTGATTTAGATCTAACACATACCGCTTAGGAGCTAGACAAATCGGAACGTGTGTATCCTTTACAAAAAGCCACATGATTAGTGTGTCTCTTGTTAAAGAATGTTAATGATCCTTTATGCAATAATGGCCCTTGCCTAGAATCACAAGGCCAAAATGGATTCAGCAGTCTGGATCAAACTCCAACAACCAAAAAAGAGAGAGTTCCAGAAAGTAGAAAGGTCATGTACAAGCACCTGTTTCTAGACTAGCAAAAGACATCCTTACACGTCCCTAACGCCTCGTTTGGTACGTGAGAATGAAGTCAAGTGAGAATGGAATGGAAAAAGGAATGAAATGGAATGTATGTAAGAATGAAATGGCCATTCTCATTCTCTTGTTTGGGTGCGTTTATAGAATGAAGCTAGAATGAAAATCTAATTCTCATTCCCATGTTTGGTATCACTAGTTCACAAGTGAGAATGGAATCTCATTTTCTAATAATGCCCTTATAACAACATAGATTTTTAATAAGATAAAAATAAGCATTAATGATAATAACTAAAAAAATTTATTTATGCATATGTTATATTAATCTAGTATGTGTTATACTAATGTGCATGTTATCGATAAGGTGTATGTTTCGTTTATATTTTTTAAACAATTCTCACTATTTCTTAGTCTTAAAAAATTAAATAAAAATAAATAAAAGATTATCGCATCTTTCATAGGTCCAAAAAAAGAATATCGCATCTTTCAAATGCCGACCTTGAAAATTTTATGTACTAATTCTATCAAACCAACGCATAAGGCATTCCATGACATTGGATTTCTCATATTTCCAAAAAGAATTTGCGACTTATCTCCTTTAAAATTTTCTAGAGAATATTATTGGAAATCCATCATCTAACTCCCTTTTAAAACGTTGTATAAAAAACGGGACGGAATGGCGTACAATGGATAGGGATCAGTACATAAAATTATGACATAAACATAAAATTATGACATAAACATAAACATAACTCATTTGACCAGTACATAATTATGATTTTTAAATTGATTCTTATTATCAATAGGGGTATAATTGGAAAAACCCTAACTAATTTGATTCTCCCCTTGAATGAGAATGATCATTCCCTATCTTCTCACTTGGAATGCCCATTCCCATAAAAAGTGGGAATGGCCATTCCAGGGGAATGGTCATTCCAACATTTAAAAACTAGTTTTGTTTGGTATGAGGGAATGAGAAGTGAGAATGGCATTCTATTCCACCCCATTCCCGCGTACCAAACAGGGCCTAAAAGTTCTATGAACTCTTTCTACATCTATCAAAATCAAATTTTATTAGGGAAAATAGCCTGAAAGAGAAACTAAAATTAAAGGATACACTTCACAGTCACGACAATGAAAATAAACATTCTATTTTTGACTTTTGGGGTGGGCAAGTATTCCGAATATGAAGCAAAATAGCTAGTGGGAGCTTAGTCCTCGTATTGGAGAGCTGGTAACACTTCTACAAGGCAAAACTATAGAGCACTCCTTATAATCATAGAATATATGCCTAGTTTGCTTATTTTGTTTTGCTAATTTTGTTCTACGACGCAAATACTTAACCTTTTCCGGAACACCAATTTAATAGCAACAAGGGTGAAACCCAAGTTAACTAAACAGGGTATATGTTGTACTTGACTAAAATATTTTGAACCTTTAACTAACATAGAGAAGATAATAATCATGGATCGGTTCTCCATACTTATATGGGTTGATATTATTGCAAGTATCAAACAACTGAATGAGCCTCCCAATATAAAAATGAACAGAAATTTTAACTGTGACACCTGTTGGATCACACGCAAACACACATGTACACATGTGAAAGCATGCAACCACACACAAACATAAACCAAAAATATGAACTGTACTTCATCATAAGGGGTTTGGAATCACTAGGCAAAGATACATGTATAATTTAAAAGCATTGATGAAGAAGCATCTAGGATTTTAAGTGAATAGTGGATACCATAGAAGATGTTGCACATGTTTCTTCTAAGCATGTAGTAAAGATTCTGAAATGAATCTTCCCAATCCTGCTGTCTTTTAGATAGGAAGTCCTTTTCTGAAGATTGAAATAGTAGTTAATGATCAGTTAAACTGTGGTTTATGTAAAACTAAGACTGCACTAGTATTTTTGTGCCTAACAAACCTCCTTTTACGGATGATAAGGCCATTACGGATATAATGGAAGAAGGTAGAGAAGACTGTGGATATATCCAAGTGGTTAAAGCTTTTGTGTACATGGTATCAGCAGACATATTTGGTCCAGATGTGCAGCCAAAGTTTTGTTCCTTGTTAAAATGGATATGAGGTACTGAGGCAGGACCTGCACTGATTCTGTGACACCTGAAATAAGTAAGGTAATTGTATTATATGTATCTCTAATCTCTCAAGACATGATGATCAATAACAGCAGTACTAATTACAAATAACAATAAAAGAAATAACAAATGAGTCATAACAAAAGGATCAAGATTCAAGAATAAAGTACCCATCAAAAATGAAATTTGACCAAAATTTTCAAAGCAGGATGTGTATAATGTAAAAAATTTACTATGTATCCTATCATGTATGACACTCTGTCATCTACCAATGTTGTACTTGTTAATCATCAAACATGCAACAATATATATCACAACAGTAAGGCAAATTTGAAGACTAGAGCACGAGCAAGCAAGAAACAAAGGCCTGTAAACCACAACAGCAAATACGTAACTATATTAAAGAGTTTGTGTGATTATCATAACAAAGTTTTCATGAATCGACTAGCCTTTATTTTGGTTAACTGAATTTACGATTTGATCATACAAAGTTTTCATGAACCAACTAGCCTTATTTTACTTCACTGAATTTAGGATTTAAGACCCAAATCTCTATCTTCACCCATTAAGTACTTAGGTGGTCTGTTTTAACAGTTTTTTATGTTGTGTGGCACATTTTAGTGGTCTACACCTACTAAAGCCCTCCCAAAGCGGCCTAGCTCTCTGTCGTCTAGGCGGGCAACTAATCAGTAAGTTCCCAGACCACTTTATAATGGAATTTAAGGTTATCATGGACAACACTTTTCAAAGTAATACTCACAGGTGAAGCATGTAGAACCAGTAAATAACTAAATATAACAATATATAGCAATCGACCTTTATATTGAAAGGAACAGCTTGATATCTAATTCTCAAAAGTAAAAGCACACGCTGAAACCATAAAATAACTCTTCTAACTTGCTTTTCAAAAGAGAGTTTCCGTTTAAGAAACTTCGAAGGAAAAAATAAATTTAGCAATATAAGAGCAGCTCTGTGCAAGCAAATTTCAGACTAAGTATAGAAAGAAAATTTTATAACCAATCATCTTGAACACAGATTTGGAAAAGAAAAGAACGAGAAGAAGAAGAAGAAGCGTTAAGCAATAACGATAATGAAGAAAGTATCTATGAAAAGCATAAATACACTCACCATTTCACTGAGGATGATGAAACCAATCGCAATGTAGTTTTCAAGGTGAAATCCAGAGGAGTCTTACAGCCAGGAATTTGAAATTCAGAACAGAAACTTCTTGAAGATACTGACAGAAGATCACCATGCTTCAGTGAAGAGTCGGCCCAAGAACTAGAGCTGCCAGGGATATCACGTGCAACTAATCCTTTTAATGCTGTTTGCTATAAATGAAAAGACCAGTCAAGCAGGATTCACACATTAAAGGATTTCAAGTGTAAATGAACTGCAAGGGCTAGCCAGTTTAATGATTACCATATCAACTTTTGCAGAATCTGAAGACTTCTCATTTCCCAAATGAATCTCAACAACATTGCGCAAGGCACTCAGACTACATTTTTCAATCTTCCGAAATCCGTGTTCACCACTTTCTTTGGCAGACGAGTCAGGACGTCCCACATCATTAAGAATGTTAGCCTTATCACTGAGGTTGAACATCAAAAGTGTATAATAAGCAGTAGGAAACATAAACCTTGTTTGTGTTCCTTAGAAACCTAGATAAAGGAAGTACCATGGAAGCGAAGACTCATCCCTGGGAGGTATAATGGAAGTAACAGAAGAATCAATGACATCATGGGATATTTTGCTGACAGTACAAGGGTCCTGCTAATAAAGAAAAGGAATAAATACTCACTGTCATCAGAGATCATTTAATCAGCAAGTATCTATTGTGAGTTGCATAACTGATAGCTTATGCACCTTTAAAGTAAAGAAAAATTTCTGACCTTGGCTGTTTCTTTTCCATAAAGCATTCTACACCTCTCACTTGATTTCTTGACAGGATAAAGCTCATTAACACGGGTGCTAATGTACTTTGGAATCTTCGATTCAAGTTTTTGTGGGCAAGTTGTCGGTCCAAGATTAATCCTGGCAGGCACTTCTTCCGTCAGAATGATTTACACAAACACGCTAGGATCAGTATACAAAAACTACCTGTCAGAGGCCAGCAAAGGAGCCAGCTGCACATCAGCTTGGAGTTCACCATTCCTTCTTTTCAACTGTTCCCCCTGTGATATATGTATTCATGTTTAATCTATTGGAGAGTAAACACCTCAACCTTCATTTCATAATAAAGGTAACTTGCAATTTACTGCACAAAATAATATTGATATGCTTCCAAACAAAATATTCAGGGACAGCATAATTTAATCTGTGTTCACCTCGATTAAAGCCTAAACTAAATTAGTCTGCATGTGAATTGTTACTAGATATCCCATGTGAATGCTGTCCATAAAAGAAGTGACTGGAAGAACAACACAATTTATGTCAAATTTCTGTTTAACCACATTGAGAATCCAACATCGATAACATCCCTATTCCTCATCATTAAGGTGGCGCAAGGATGCCAAGCCAAAGACATAGAATAACCTTAAAGTAGAAATAGACTTTAAAATGATAGAGTGAAGATAAAGGAGAACAACAGAACTTCATTAGGAACATATTATTTTCTGCTATATCTGTAGCAAAACAACATACCAAATGTTTTTCTTTTAAGTATTGGTATAAAGCCAATATTGAAAACAGTGATCAAGTATATGACATAATAGTGTTTCTGGATATGTTACAGCCATCCATGTGTTCTTCTGGCGTAAAATACTTGCTAACGTTAGATTCAACCGAATCCCATGAAAAGCATCTCTCATGTTCTGAAGATATAATTATAAACAACTCAAGGATTTGAGCAAAAGCTTCCTCAATCACGTGTTTCTCGTCCAATCTGCCTCAAGTTTCTACTGAGATCTAATTCCAAAAACATGTTTTTAGACCTATAAGTAATAAGATTGTTACATTAAAGTCCCTTCCTACTTCATCTAGACTTCAAACTAGTGGTAAATTTTCAGGGTTGTAATTTGATACTCTAATCTGCCCTCATAGGTTCGTACGCAGCAGCATCTTTTTCAATATGCTTTAAATATTTGGTCGATGACAATTGAACCTAGGTTGCTCTGATACCATACTAAAATCCCGCCCCTTACAACAAAAACTCCAAATTTGTTGCCAGAGTTAAGGGCTCTAATCTTATACTCTGTAACAGTTTAGCATGCATTGTCGAGCATCAACCCAAAAGCTGGGGGCTATCAAATTTAGAGAGGGTGCTTTTTACATGTTCCAAATAAATAAACAGTGTCTTTGAAAACTAATCCATCAAAATTCCAGCTTAAAAACGCATCATGAAAACTTAAGGTAGTTTAAAAGAACTTACTCTCAGTTCAGAGGGAGTCTTCCTTTTCATCTTGACATCGGATTGAACTCTCCCAAACGGAAAATTCCTAGTTGAAGCCGATTCCACAACCGCCGCTTTCGCCATTTGGACAAGTCACTAAATCTGCATCTCTCTCCTGCAATAAAAATCAAACCTTTAAGCATCGGATCAAGCAAATAGAAGATATTTCGCCATTGGGATTTGGGGGGGAAATGATGACGAGATGGAATCCAAATCGAATCTTTTAATAGAGATCGGGATCCAGGAACCCTAGAAATAGATCGACAGGAGAGGATGATTAGAGACGAAGAAATTACTCGGATGAGATAATTTCGGTCGAGATCGAAGTCGCTGCTGTTGCCCTAATTTTTCTTTCCTTTTTTTTTCTTTTTTCCCCCCTCAGCGAGGAGAGAGAGTGAAGGCGGAGGTTTGAAAGATTGGGGGCAAAAATAAGCGCGGGCAACGGGAATCGTGAAGCCTCGTTGTGGTTTTTTTTGGTCTGACCAGAATAGCTTCGTTGTGGGTTTTTTTTTTTTTTGAGAGGGGAAAAAAAGAACAAAAAAATGGCGACTTTGGGGATTTTTTTTTTTTTTTTAGAAAAAGGATGGATTACAATTTTTTTTTTTGAGAGGGGAAAAAAAGAACAAAAAAATGGCGACTTTGGGGATTTTTTTTTTTTTTTTAGAAAAAGGATGGATTACAATATAGTAATCCAGCCAGCTAAATTAATAAACTGGTTGTTACATATAATGTGCACATTCCAACCAAAAAGTACACATAAATTCAACTGAAAATACAAAAGCACCAGAACACTTTCGTACAAAAGATTAAATCTCCCAAAAGAAAAACTCAACTACCACAAAAGTAAGTATCATATTCAACAACAGTCTTACTCATCAAAACATCAACTAAACCACTGCATATTTGAGCTTAATCCAGCTGAATCACCACACTTCTCTCCTCTCCTGCAGCTCCAACTGACTGTAAGTCTCACAATCTCTCGTTCTTCTTCCTTCTTCGCGCTTGCAATCTGGTCGCTCTATCTGTAATTTTAGAACCTAGCCAAAATGTAGAAAAAGTCATAATCTTATTCAAAATCTCCAGGCTCTATCTGTAATTTTAGAACCTAGCCAAAATGTAGAAAAAGTCATAATCTTATTCAAAATCTCCAGCGCTATCTTCTTCTTGTTAGAAAAGAGTATCATTACGCTCCTGCCATATACACCAAATAAGAGCACAAAAAGTAACATCTCTTTCCATCTTGCAGTCCTTATTTCCCCATCAGTCCAATTAATCCACACTTCCTTTAAAGAATTCATTTTGAAGTCTTTTCCAATTTTTAATTTGAACTGAATAGATCTCCAAAGTGAGAATATAAACTCACTTTGAACTGAATAGATCTCCAAAGTGAGAATATAAACTCACATTCAACAAACAGATGAGTATGACTCTCTTCAGCTTTAGAACACAAAACACAATTCAAATATAAACTCACATTCAACAAACAGATGAGTATGACTCTCTTCAGCTTTAGAACACAAAACACAATTCGGCTCTAAATTAATTCCTTTTTTAGCCAAAATATCTTTTGTATTTAAGCTTTGTCTTAAAGCTAGCCAAAGCATAAGTTTCACTTTTAAAGGAATGGAAAGCTTCCAAATGTCTGCACAGTCAGAACGTAAACCTCCATCAATAAGAAATTGATAGAAAGATTTAACAGAGAAAATACCATTTGCTTCCCATAACCAAATTCTATTGTCTTCTTTTTGATCAAAAATTGTATCCTTGATAAGATTCAGTAAATTCAAAAACTGAAATACCAAACTTCCTGTCAATTGCCTCTTGAACTTAATATCTCATATCCAAGTGTTATTCCTTTTTTTCCCTCAGACTGCTAACAGAAGCATAAGGAAAAGAAGTGATAATAAAGAGAGATGGGTATAGAGAAGCAAGGGTATATGAGTCTAACCATTTATCAAGCCAAAATAAAGTATGCTTTCCTTCTCCCACCTCCACATGAGTACTGCATAAGAAACTATCAACATTAAGAAAAAGATTTTTCCAAAAATTAGCGACTTTGAGGATTAATTCAAAGGATTTGATTAGGCCAATTGAAACAATAAATTTTGTGGCTCAAAAAATTTGGGGTGGAGCTGTTCCATCTTTAATCTCTGATTCTTTTTTGTTTCAAAGCCCAATTTAAAGCCCAAGGTTGTTTTGGATGAAACTAGGGTTTGTGATGAAACTAGGGTTAACTTTGTGGCTGGGTTCGGGTTAAAAA